AAAGTACGTGGATGATCTGACGATTCTCGAAATCATCCCTAGAAACTCTCCATCATATTTGAATTGTATTGTGGATGATATCGAGTGCTTTTCTCATCGCAACAACATGCGCCTTAATCCAGCTAAATGTAAAGCCACGACGATTGACTTTCTTGATTATAATAGTTGCACCTGGCGCCCGCGTCAAATCCTTTAAACTTCTCGGAGTTTATATTTCTGAGGATTTGACTTGGGGTGTTCACTGTAACTACATAATTAAAAAAGCCAATCGTCGCCTCTGTGCACTTAGAACCCTAAAGAGGTGCGGCGTGCCGACATCAGACCTAATCACAGTATATTGCTCCCTTATACGATCAGTAACTGAATACGCCTCGGCTGTATTCGCGAATCTGCCAAAGTATCTGTCTGATGTGTTGGAGGGAATTCAAAAGCGCGCCCTTAGGATAATTCCTCCGAATTTACATTATGACGAGGCATTGATACTAAGTGCCCTGCCGTCTTTAGAAGACCGTAGGGCTGCTGCTTGCGAATCATTTATGCGTACAAAACCATCCAACCCTGTGTTTGGCCTTGCCATGAGTGGAAGGGTAAATACCGTTCACTCGTACTCGTTACGAAGCTGCCGGAACTATAACAACAAAATGTGTAAAACAAAAAGATTGTCAGAATTTGTATCTGCGAAATATTTAGATTTTTTGTCATAAGTTAAATGTTAATTATGTGTAATATGCGCACGATCCTGTTATCCAGCTCTTAGCTGCAAGGGGTTCTGACTAAACAACTCTACTCTACATGTTTGGGTCATCAAGTAAACCCTGTGGTTTGAAAGGCAAACAACAATAACAACACATGTACTTTATCGTCAATGATAAGTTCTAAAGAACCAATAAAATGCTTAGAGTCAAAATTGTGTGATAGGGCCAGTTAGTGTAGGTAACCAAAGGTCATATCTAATCTCCAACTTCAGAAACTGATATATTGGTTCAACAAATCCATGATAACTTAGACGACACTACTCGAAATCTAAGGAATTACCAGTGTGAGTTAAATCTTGGAAATGGACTACTGGAACAAGAACAAAGAGGAAACTCTATACTTACGAGAGAGAAGGATAGTAGCTCTCGAGTGGTCTGTGATTGGAGAACGAAACAATAGATGATTCAAGAAAAACAACAACCCAATAACCCTAAAAACAAAAGAAGGCTAATACTGGAATGCTTATTTAGGCCAATGAAACTAGAGGTCTGGAAGAGCTACTGTACTACACATAAGAGAAACCTTCACTTAAAAGGTTAAAAACTTAAACAGCTACTGAGTATTTCTCAGCAAGAGAAGGTTGAAAAGAGCAGGGGGAAGATATAGAAGAAGAAGAAGACTCTCATGGGTTCTTTTCTCGCCCATAGAGAGATAAACCGACGAAACCAACTGCAAGCACCCTTAAGACTACCTGCGATCGAGTGTTTTAATTTGTTTCATGACAGCCGAGAGACATAAACACGATACCAGTATCAGAAGGGTATGAACAATTTACGGTCGTTTGCTACTCGCCGTTTCACCATCGTTTTTGGATATGTCTCATTTAGACCCAAAAATTAAAAATCTAATTCGGTCTAAGAAGTAGGCTTGGAAAAAGTTCTGGCCCAAACTGAAAATTCGCAATCCTACTCTGACTATCCCCTCGCCCCGAACAAAAATCACGCTCGAGTTTTGGTAAGTGCAAGTATACTAAGAGACACTACATATTTGCATGAGATCGGGACGAACTCGGACCTCTACGAATTTGTTTGTTTGCCAAGATCGCGGTACGGTAATTACATGCATGACAACCGAGCCAGCCCGGTTAACCCAGATAGACAAAACATCTTCTAGGCCGTGAGGGTGCAATGTGCAAGGTCCAAGATCTAAGCAGGAAAGCAACGACGACTTTCGGATAGATACCAGATACCTTAGTTTAAGACTCAGTTAAATGCTAAAATAAATAATATGCCTTGCCGTAAATTTTCCCTAACATTTTATGTTTGATTCTGGACAAATCTCTTTAAACGTCGGAAAGAAAGCATAAAGACTCAGTGAGCAAACAATCAAAAAAATACAAAATAGAAAAAATTATCCAGCCTGCGCGTGCCAGATTGTGACGTCACATTGTTATCAAACCGTCAAGGTAGAAAATTTGCATTTTGCGTTTTCGAAGTCCGGCAGGGTACATGTGTGTTGTGACTGCGTTCGTTTTAACCCGTGAAGGAACAAATTCTAGAAGTATCGTTAACAAAATTTACTTTGGGTTAGAAATATGCAGTGATAAAGCTTTTTAACTGCAATCGAGTCCGACAGTGGGGCGAGAGAAGCGCATCGCTGTATTCTACAGCTGTAACGCTTTTGAACAGCCGATCCTGGCTCGATCCGAAGGAAAGTACGTGCTGAGTATCATGGAAAGTTCTTCCACCTGCAGGGATTAGCGTCGCTAAATTTTGATCGGGAATTCACTGTTCCATACTAACAATGAACGAAACAATTACAGCAAACGAACCCTTCATATTGGAACAAAATGGAGTTGAAAGGCCAGTGCAAAAATCAGCAGATTATGCCGCGGGCAACAAGGCCAACAGAGAGCGGTAAGAGAAAAATATATTTTTTATTGAATTTTATCCACTTCATTAAACAAAGATGTCGGTTTTTCAGTGCATACATGAAAATTGGTTTGACTGATGAACGTTTAAATCAACACCTGCGACGGATATGCGTGTATTGAAAGCGAAAAGGGTTCGCCACATGTAGTTGTGTGAATTAAACAATATGCAAATTTTCTATGTTGTATTTATCTTCCTCAACTATAGTTAAAAATACAAGTCGATTGCAATGAGTAATTTCAATTAGCAATACTGCACTCAAGAGCATTGAAATATTGATCGTAACTAGACTGTAACTTTCAGACCTTTCAATTCAGCGTTATCGGATAATTTTTTAATTGAAATTCACTTAAGCTGCGCCTCAAAAATGTCATGTAACTACTGAGTGTGTTCTGTTTTTCGACCTCATTGATAGCTTTTCTTCTCATGCTTCCGTCTGTATCGAGGCGCCGAAAAAATATATACATCATTTGCATTGGTTGAGTCACTGAAATAGACCTTTGCAGCTGTAAAATAGGAAAATGCTTTACCCCTAATGGAACGCCGCAAAGTTTCCTGATAAGTAATAAGGAGGAGTACAAAGGGAAAAAAAGGCTTAATAGACTTTCTTTTATTGGTTTACCCGTCTTCACCATAACCAGTCTCTAGCTTCCTATCAGTGTATTTTAAAGCAGCGTTTGTATTTTAAAACAGGTGTTGCTTCGGTGGGAGGAGGAAGAATGACCATTGTAGGGGATTGGGAAGCTGGCATTTCGCTCTGACTGGAATGGCTAGCACTCTAAATGTCAACGTCTCAATGCCCCTACAGTGGCCAATCTAGCCTATCAATGTACATGAACTGCCCCAAGGAAATCATCATCACCATCATCTTGATTAGGTCGGTAAAAGCCAGTTAGGCTAAACACCAACCATTTCTAAAACATAAAAGTAAAAATTACATACAACAATAGGTAGAATATAGAATAAAAAAAATTAACTATACTAATTAACACGAAGTTAAAAGCAAACTGGTCGCGGTCTCTTACCAGGGCTTTTCATTGCAGAACTTTGGTCACAGCTCAAACTGAGTTTCTCAATGCTGGTTGTTACAAGATCTGGTCGCTTACCAACCAGTGGTCGCAAGCACAACGTCGTCAGTACAACCCAAATTGATTTTTTTTCCTCAACCGAACACTGGGATTTTTTCCAAAATTTTTGACAAGACTCAACTCCGGACATAAATGAGCCGGTCCTCATCCCGTTGTTTCTTTTCTTAACTAATTGCCTTTGTTTGATTTTTCTTGTAGGTCTTGTTACAAACATCGCTTTAATCCCTGTCATCGGTGGTCTTTGCTGTGTAGTTGGTTTGTTCTTTTCCAGCAATACTTGGTTGGTAAACTCGGAGAACATGTGGCAAAACATCCGATGCTATCCATTTTGGTATGCGTCCTGTTCGTGTGCTTTTGTGCGGCGGGGGTTGCTTGGCTTAAAACAGAAAGCAGAACTGAGAAATTGTTTATTCCTCAAGATAGTAGAGCTATCAAAGACTTAAATACGGCGGAGCAGTTTTTTCCGATCAACGTTCGTTATGAGAAAGTTATTTTAGTAGCACGTGCGCAGAACCCTAACGTTCTTACACCTGAATGTCTCCACGAAGCGTACGACGTGCATAATCAGATTTTAGAATTAAATTTATATTCCGAATATTGTTCGACTCTTTCAGGACAGAAAGCGGCCTCTCTGAAGGATTGCGTAACTGTAGATCCTTTTGAAATATTTTCAGTGACAAACTTTAGTAAAAAGACCCCGCTTGAAATCCAGCTGGAGCTTAACAAAGCGTTGAACAATAATAGTTTGATAATGCGAAATGGTCAACTTTTTAAGGTCAACTTCAAGAGAATATTCGGTCACCCAACGGGGACCCGTAACGGGACTGATTTGTATGTAACAGGTGCGCATGCGCTACAACTGACTTATTTCATCCGGGATCCTTCAGAAGATGACCTAAGCAAGAAAGTTCTTAAATGGGAGAAGGCCTTCTTGGACAAGGCTTCTTCGCTTTCTACGACGTGCTTTAAGATGTATTATGAAGCAGAAAGAAGTACGGACGATGCTATTGCTGAAAATGGGAGTGCAGATATTACTCTTGTATCCTTCACTTTTACTGTTATGATATCCTTCGCTTGCATTATGTTGAGCAAGTTTTCCAATCCACTGACTGGCCATTCGCTGCTTGCGGGCGCAGGCGTTCTTGCAGTCAGCTTTGGAATTTTATCGGGAATAGGAATCGCTATGTGGTGTCGCGTCACGTTTGTTAACATCGTAGGCGTGGTTCCGTTCTTAGTTATTAGCATAGGAATCGACGACATGTTTATCATTGTTGATGACTTGGATCGTCAACCGCGCCAGTTTAGTTTGGTCAGGACTATTAAAGAGGTTATGTCAAGAACTGGCCCAACAGTTACCATGACAACCCTGACGGATTTAGTAGCCTTTGCGGTCAGTACATCGACTCAACTTCCTGCCATTAGGTAGGTGCCTTCCATGTGTTATTTACATGTTATCTAGGTTTCCCTTAATACAATCGACTCTCCCTAACACGGACATCTTTGGGACCTAGACGATGTGTCCATCTTAAAGAGGTGTCCTTCTTGCAGAAATACAACTAAAAGCAGTAAAGAAAGGCGAGGAACCAACTCTAGGTATCCGGAGTTTTAGCGAGGCGTCCGTTAAGACTAAGGTATAATGTGAAGTTTGATATCTGTAAGACCAATTAAAACTGTCCGTGATAGACAAATGTCCGTATACGTTAGATATCACTAGGGAGCATCGATTAAACATTTTTCGCATTATATTGTACCAATAATTAGCGTTTTGAGCTAGGCAGCGTGGTTAAGTGGTCAGCGCACCGATTTTGGAATCCAGAGATCTCAGGTCTCAGTGCGGCCCCGACTGCTAGCAGAAGTTGTTCCCCAGCAAATCCGACCTAGGTTCGTGGAACATGATTGTAAAGAGCAAACTGGTCTTATTTTTTCAACCTTGTTGTGTTAAACAATCTTCCGTCATTGTTAGGGCCAGGAGCCCATAACCCGGAACGAGCAACTCCCATACTACGCCTCACCGCGTTTTTACTGACCAGTTTACTTTTAGACTTTTTTCCCGCCAACATAGAACCTCCACCATGCCTATAAGCGCATTCGAAGTATAAGGTATCAAAAAGGAAAACTAAACGTTATTAAAAGGCAAAAAATATCGTTTTTAGGTCTGTAGGTTTTGCAGATATTCGAAATCCGGGTTATGGGCTCCTGTTGGGGCCCAATTGCCTTTATCAACCCAATTGCCCAATTGCCTTTATGCGCATTTAATCATATTTACATGTACTTTGCGCTATATAAATATTAAATTATTATTATTAATTATTATTATTATCAGGAGCCCCCGCCTTTGCGTTGCTAACGCTGTTGCGAGTCACAAAGTCAAAGCTGAGCGCGCATTTTTCTTCTTTTTTCAGATCCTTTTGTATTTATGCAGCATTAGCCACAACTTTTGCGTATGTAATGATGATAACCTTCTTTGTCGCTGTCATGACATTTGATGTTAAGAGAATCAAATCTGGACGCCGAGACTGTCTACCAGTCTGTCAAGCACCTCAGCCAAAAGATGGCGAGGCACCCTGGGACGAGCCGCGCCCGCAGTCATCAAACCGCATCATGAAGGGCTGGTCAACATTTCTTATGCATCCTGCTTCAAAGTTTTTTGTGCTTATTCTTTCCTTAGTGGCGCTCTCTATGGGAATATACGGAACCACCAAAGTGACTGAAAGGTTAGTTGCCATACAGTGACTGGGACTATACCCTGACCCACTGAAAAATCCGAATCAGCAAGGCCTACCACAGATTAGGGACAAACCATTTTTTTTTTTTTTGAAAATTTTGAAATAAATTGTTTGCAGAGGCTGTAAAGACTGAAATACATTGTATGCAATTAAAAAAAAGTGTTTGCAGGAAGACAGGAGACACAAAAATGTCAAAGGGTCTAGTTTTATCGTGTGTCTCACGATGGTCACTTTGATATTGATCACGACGTTTCGACCGCACACTGCAGGTTTTCATCACGCGATATTGTCTGTTTACTGAGTCGGAATATTTGTACCACCGTGGTTGTTAGTGATTGTTGTCTCACGAACCTTGCTCAAAAATTGTTTGCAGCAGGAGCCGCATATAAAAAACGTTTGCATATGAAAATTTTACAACCCTCCCAACCCCCCTCCCCCACCCCTTCGTAATTAAATGAAAGTTTAGCCAGTTGAAAATTCGTGTGTTCAAGTGTTCTGTTCACAAGGAACCACGCTAACCGTACAAAATTTAGACGCCTAGCCTTTCAAAACTTTGAACGGCAAAGTCGAGGTCAAACTTTTAGTCGCCCCGGTTAAAAATTTGATTCACTGTATGCTTTTTAACTAGGTTTGATAAAACCATGTTGGCCAAGGACGATTCTGATCTCATGAAGTTTCTTGCTGTTGAAGACAAGTACTTTCAACAATCCATTCCTGTCAGTATAGTTCTCACCGGTGAGAAAAAATATCAGGAAAGAACAACTCAAGAAGAAATAAGCAAGTTGTCAAGCATTGTAAAGGATAACAGTTATTTTCAATCAGAGTGTTTTTCGTGGATGAATACCCTGAGGCAGTTTTCCAAAGAGAAAAATATAAATATTTCTGGAAAACATTTCATGCCTGCATTAAGAAATTTTATCGAAATTCCGCAATTTTCAGGTTTTAAGCAAGACGTGAAACTGTCATCTAATGGAAGTTATGTGCTTGCTTCTCGGGTTGTAGCTTTCATGAAGAATGACCCTGCTTCAACCTTTCAGAAAAACGCCATGTTAACAATTCGCGAGGATCTTGCTATCAAGTCTCCACTTAAAGTGTTTCCGATCAGCCGTTCTTTCATCTTCTTTGAGCAATACGCCATAATCTCTAGGGAAACCACAAGGAACCTTATAATAGCGGCCTTAGCCGTGCTTGTAGTTACGTCCCTTTTCCTGGGTGATTGCTCCGTGACGATCCTAGTGGTGGCTAATTTCGTGGCCCTGATACTGGAGCTGTTTGGCCTGATGTACGTGTGGGATGTGTCTCTGAATGGCGTGTCGATGATCACTCTTGTCATGGCTATAGGCTTCGCTGTGGACTATAGCGCGCACATTGCGCATGCGTTCGTGATGTCCAAGGAGGAGACTGCTGACAAGCGGGTCGTGGACGCAGTTAGTACGCTCGGTGCCAGTGTTTTCATGGGAGGTAAGTCGGAATAGAAACATAACGTAAACAAAAAAGAACCGATTAACTCTAGTGTGAGTAGAATTTAGTCGAAATCACTAGAGACCGTTATTCGAAAAGGCGCTTCAACACAGAAGAACCCATTACCGGACGTAATTTGGTCCCAACGTTTTTCTCCATGCCCAAAATCGGGTGTCTGTAAGTCTCCTTCTCAGCCTCTCTGGCCGGATTGTCACTTCAATCTTTTTATTACGTCATTTTCTGATCGCCCCATCAGCAACAGCAAGGTACTGCGAAGGAATTCTACGCTTGTCCGACCCTATGAAAATGGACTTTAGCACTGCCGAGTTAAACGTCTTCATTAACGTTTCCCCTCACTCCCAAAGCGCACCCCCTATGAAATTTGTTTTTATAAAGTATTGAAAAACAAATTTACCTACTGTGGGTTTTAGCGAGAGTGTGCAGTTGTAGGAGCGGAAACAAATAATCAAAAAAAGTTAGAAGTTTTATCATTTTTCGATTGGAGACTGGGCTTAACCTCCTTCGATAAAAATAACCGTGTTAACTTTTCTGTTAACCCTTTAAGCCCTAAGAGTGATCAGCCTCAAATTTCTCCTTGTAATATCACTGCTTTATAAAACACAGTGGTCATGAGAATTGAGGGCCTGATCACACAAGATGAATCTAATTGATACTTCAACAAATTCTCCCCACTGCTTCTATTGAAAACATAAAGGGACAACATATGAGAATTTGGATTTTGATATTAGGGTTTAAAGGGTTACAAAGAGTACAATGAAGCTGTCCGCTGTGTATATTTTTTGAGAATACGCGAAATTTCGGCGTCGTAGTCGTCCTCTCGGTGAGCACTCGCTGACTTAAAGAAAGCGTGCGGTTATCTTCTAGAGCGCAGAGCCTAACATGTGATAACGAATTTTACCGATGCTATACTTTTCTACTAATGTCTAATTAACATCATACATATATCCATTCCTTTCCAACAGGATTCAGTACTTTCCTTGGCATGTTGGTGCTTGTTTTCGCTTCCTCAGAAATTTACCGCATATTCTTTCGTATGTTCATGGGTATTGTGTTATTTGGACTTCTTCATGGCCTGTGTATCTTACCTGTGCAGCTCTCCTTCCTGTGGTGGAGACCAGCTGTCACGCATGCGCAGACCAGCAACTCGGAGCAATTGACAAAGGAAGCAGATGCCGAGGGAGAGGAAAATATATAGTTCCTAGCATGACTGCGGGGCTTCAAAACTCGCTTGCCTAATTTTACTTCGAGAATTCTTGCCCATTTCTAACTGATTTATATTTCCCTTCTAAAACAATAACTACAACTAATTTATTCAGACTGTGATGTAACATTAAGTTCGCAACTCACTGATCAGGTACGGCAAAAGAGGGAAAATTAGCAAAAAAGAAAATTTTACAATCCTAGATGCCATTTAGGGTGTTGTGTTTAGGATCGTTACGGTGTGGTTTGCTAAATGTAACATGGGAAGTCGGACCTACAGTATTTCTTCAATTTTGAATCTTTAAGTGAGTCTACAGAGTCGCTGTCTTCTGTATTCGAGATTTCGAGACACATTTTTCTCTAAAATTGTGAATTGAGTTTGACTGCTTTGACAACAGTATAAAATTCACGGCAAAATATGGATTTGGGTGGTTGAAGGCGGGGGGGACGGGGGAGAGTGCTATCATAGCCTACGCGGCTGGTGGGATTATAATGGCGGGGTAACTTTTTGGGGCCAAAGCTGCGAGGAAAAAGTCGTCATTTTTCTCACTACTCCGCCACCAAAATATAAAACAACCGGCACGCGCGTAACCTGAGATCAGGCTCTACTTTCGTTTCGCTTAGTAAATAAAATGTAGGAAGCTGCTAAAATTGGGCCTGATCTCAGGTTAGCACGCGTGCTAATCCCACCAGCCAGATAGTCTTGCAAAAAACGATCATTTTGCACATTCTGCAATGAACATCATACTCAAGGTATTGTTTGCTATGCAGTTCAAGGCAGAGGATAACCGAATGCCACTTACATTACCTTTTAAGAGCGTTTAAGCTTAGGGTGTTTTTTAAGAGTTGTTTCCAGTTATTTCCAAATATTGTTATATTATTATTAATATTATTATTATTATTTTTATTATTATTTTTATTATTTGTTTGCAGGTTTTTACGTATCATATAAGTTTTATAAACGAGCAGACTTCAAATGAAAAATTATAATACATATCAAAAGTTATCTAAAAAATAAAGCAGTAATAGGGTTCTTTGTTCTTGTCTAGGGCGGGGTCTTATTATATTTAACAATGAAAGCAGTTCAGCCTAGGCGAGCTGAAGGGGGAATAAAATTGGTGTGTGGAAGAAAGATAAATGAATTTAAATCTTTACTGCATTAGCCTGCTGAGTCAGAGGCGTCTGGTAGAACAAGTTCTTTTCGCAGACCACCAAACTCTAATTCAGTTTGCTTCGAGACCTTACCACCCCTCGCACCGAAGGGTAACCCTGGTTGAACCAAACATACCAGGTTTTTGAAATTAAAACGCCGGCTGAGTATGATTTTACCAAGTTTTTGAGGTAAGTCGGGTTGAATGTCCTGGTTGGTCACTTGTATAAGCGACCACACCCATCCAAAATACCTATATGAGTCGGCCCAATCAAAGACCATTATTTGTGGGCAGTTATTTGCAGCGAGATCACCAAATCTTCGCATTTTAGAACATAGTCGCTTACGTGAGGTTTGACAAGCAAGGTCGAGATAAGTAAGCCGTTTTTGCTTAACCTTGTTTTAAAACGTTATTTTAGTACCCGTACCGTCACGACTGGACAAAAGCAATGAGATGAAATCATGTGAAATTTTAGAGAAAGATTGAGTTATAAGAGAAGAGAAGATTATCCTCTATTTTGGGTATAATAAGGAAGTGGAAGTATCACCTAAAGTACTCAGAAGGAACTTGAAAAGTTGGCTCGATCATTTTACACGTTGCATCAATTTTCATCTATGCCATGTAACTCTTGGTCATTTCTTTTCATCTGCCATTGGCTGCGGAAACGAAAACTCTTCATTTAAATAATTTATTGCTGCTTCTAATGTTTCTAATTTCCAGCTTTTATTCCGCTTTTGGGCCGCTTGCATGCCCACCAGTTGAAATAAACCAACAACAGAAAAATCAGCCGTTGTGTTATTACAAGTTTTTATTAAAATTTCATTCATTTGCAAAATCAATTCAGTTTTGTCTGCTTATTGTCACATTTGTGGGACCTGGGTCCCACAAGAAATGACTGAGGACTCTTTCCACAGGACTCAACGCATGCTCATAACTTGCTCGGTTACCCAAGATAGCGTCTGCGGCTACGAGTGCATACCAATGATAACAGCCAGGGAATTCACAAAGAATTATGCTCTAGTAAGGTTTCTGATTGTAGATGGGGTTAATGCCTTTATCATTTACTTGTCTATTGCACAGTTATTAAAGTGTTTTTCCCAAATTTAAAGTAAAAAGTAGAAGCATAATTGCCGCAATTTTTTTTGATAAAATGAGCATAATTCACAAAAACTAGCATTATTATTGGCATAATTTTAGAAATATACGTGCACTGCTAATAGCATATGCTCCTTTTGCAAGCACAATCTAAAAAATCCTATGGGTATCCCAATGAAATTAGTTATGATCGAAAAATAGCAAGCGCGCGGGGTTGATGGGAAGAAAAAAAGCTCTTTTCCTTTCCCATCTTCCCCCGCGTGCTTTCTTTTTTTCCTCTTCCCAGCCTTTCAACGTCACAAAGAGACTTCTACGGAGAAGAGAGTCTATCAATTGCAATTAGCCGCCAGTGAGGTCCTCTTGATATCAAAATCCGCCCTTTTTCTGTTGGATTTTGCGATCGTTTCGGTTTTGTATGGCTCCAACTTTAAATGGATTTTTGGAGACCAAAATTCGATTGTGACTTAACACGTGGCACTTTATTTTTGAGGGCTGATTATATAATACCGGAATGAGTTCGTTCCAAAGTAAAGTTCTTACTGCATTCACATGATAAAATCAAAAGGTCACTGCCCTAAGGCCTTCGCGCTCGCGTGGTTTTTGCCCCAGATCAGATACGCATGCGCCACTCACTCCAGACTACATGATTTGCGATTTTCTGCCAATTAGTAAAATAAGTTTAATTTTTGCATCAGGAACGATGTTCGTTTTCAGTTTACATGATACCAGAATAAAATTTCGTACCAGAACGAGAATTTCATTCGGAATGAAAACCGGAATGAACTCATTCCGGAGTGACTTTTACTTGAACGTTTTCCAAATAATAACTAAGTCCCCCAAAAAAATAGAAACAGATATAGCATTCTACCTTAGTAAGCCAACTGCATAAAGTAAGAAGGAGATTCTGAATTAGTTCTACATGCTGCCATGGCCCGACGTTTTTTTATATATACACAATTATAAAATCTTTTTTAACCTTATATAACTAGAGGTTGAATGGCGCACAGAAAGAATGTGGAGCTGGTGTTTGGAAAATTATTTAGGGTCAATTTAAGTTTGCTCCTAAATTGTGCACGGCTGCCATAATTTTTTTTTTTAATTTAAAAAATAAACATACCGTATCGCTTGTGAGCTGTATTAATACTACTATGCCTTGAGGGAAAATAAATCCGGACCGCGAAGTAACACTTAGCTGTGTTTAATTTTGAGTAAAAGAATTGGGTCAGGCTTAACTCTACAGAGTCTGGTGCAGGGGTATGCCCGGGGTCCAAGTTATGACTATAATACAGTGCGGGATTCGGAAAACGTTAACGGGATAAGGGATTTGACGCAACTGCGGGATGCGGGATTCGCCAAAATTTGGGTACGGATGCGGGACTAGGAAAAAAACGATATTTGGTATCGGCTATGACAGAATTTCGGGATGGGGGATTCTCGTGAAAAAAAAGTGCGTACCACGATCCAGAGCAGGCAAAAACACTATTTCACTGTAGTTCTGTGGTATTCTTGGTTTACAACCAGGTGACAAGGCAGCCATGTTGGGTTCTCAAAGAATTTATATGAAAATGGAGTTTAGTTCCCAGAGGAGAGAAATGCTTTTGTTATTGACCACCATAACGGCCTCCCTGACGTCACCAGCGATACAGTAAATAAAATTCTGTTTCTTACTGGTGTTATTACTTGGCTTCCACTAGCTGATCTGTTGATCAGAAACTTGATTGTAGATTGTTAATGTATCTTAGGCTTCAGTTATAATGATACCATAAACTGTACTTGCTACAGTTTGTCACGCAGCCATGCTTGTCACTTGTTCCTTATATATGGTTTCCCTTAAGAAATTTTCAAAATCACAATTTCATTAATGTTCTACTTCAATTTCGACCCTCTCTGGCGTCTGTTGATTCGGACTAAGCGTCATATACTTCACACCAAAGGTATGGACCCTTAAAGTAGCTGTTCATCTTTACACCACACGGCGCACTTGCTTGTAGGATTCATTGGCGTGTTTTGTTTGCAGTTAAAAGCTCTGGAGAATTCATACGAATTGGATAATGTCCCAATAACCCTAATGATGAGAACAAACAAATAAAATTATTCAGTATCTGTTAATAACAGATCGCACTTGCCTGTGGCTACTGAGCAAATCAGACTGATCAATGCAATGACCTTTTTTAATAAATCAATGATAACACTGAAGAGCGTTCTACTTACACAAGAAGACCCCAAAAAATATTGAAAAAATTCATCGAAGAGGGTACATCATGGTGAGATCTTTAGGTCAAAACCGAGTTTAAACTAAGACTATAAAACGTCTTAGTCATCTTTTCTCTTTAACAGACCTTCAAAAAAAAGACATCAAGCAAGAGAATACACAAGCCTCTTATTTTCTCTTGTATCAAGTGATTCTCTTAAAAGAAAAAAAAACAGTCACCATGGAGGCGTTTTCTTGTGGAGACAGTGCGATGATAGGGCACAGTCCTTGCTCATTCATGATCTGCATAATATTTGCCCCTGGCAGATTTGTGTCCCATCAAACGAAACCGCCACCTTGACACAAATTTAGGGCCGCTGCGGATAATGATCTTGCCGTCTTTGATAATTTAACCGATATCTGGTTCAATCGTTTATTGAAGTGAGGACACTTACAGTCTTCGTTCAGTTGAACACTTTAGGCGAGCAAGTGACCCCGGTTTGACCCAAAGCTGACCCTTTCTTTTCTCTTAGCTTTTCAGCAGCGCTATTTTTTGCGATACACGTATTTATAGTTAGATATTGCAGTGATCCATGGATCAAATGATCAAGCAAAGCGAGAATGCTTTGAACCTTTATCAATTTCTTTCAACCTATTCCCGTCTGTAGAATTTTTATTTGGATACATTATGGGGGTTGAAAGGTCACTGAAGGGCCAATATGCATCAACACAACTCACCTAAACTTTTCCTCTGAATGTCTGTCACTTAAAGTTGCCAAGTATTGCTCTGTTGGTCGACTATTACTACAATACGCCTGCGAGTATAGAAAATTCAAGGAGTTCAAATTCATAGTGCGGCAAAATTTCGTTTCATCAAATATGATAGTACAGGTAATAGGTAGTTAAATTCTTTTTCTCCTAGTTCTGTATTTTCTCTTATTTATTCTTTTCTTTTTCTATCTCCTTTCTTTTAGGATTATTGTTACTATTTTTTCTTTCTCTTTCTCGGAGATATTAGCTTGTACAGCTACTTTAAAAGTCAGAGGTTTACTAAAATAAAGCGGGTGATGTGATGTTAAAGGTGTTATACAATTTCAAATTCCGCAAGAGTTGAGGACTGATATTGTGATAAAGCAAACCAGGGAAAGCTGTTTGTCAGAAACAGCGTGATGTTCGAGAAATGGAAGATTCAGAGTTATCCTGCCATTGAGATGGAGTGTTTGAAATAAAAATCATTTGATGTTCCAAAAAGATTCCCTTGCTTTTCCCTATTTTTCTCCCGTTGGGGAATGAAAAATATAAATAACCACTTGCGAATAGACATAGAATCAGGACTTTTAAAGCCACTAATAGAATTTAAAAAAGGGCGCCGCCCTAGGCTGTCTCTTTGTTGTCTAAGATTGAGAGATTCTTGTGTTACTTTTAAATGATGCAATTATAGAAACAGTACTCGTCTGGCAGATTTTCGGAACTGATACCTCAAAAATGAAACTGTCATGTCGGTAACATTAAACAAAGGAACTTGAATTGGAATCACCTGACCAAATCCTATGAAGAACAATTGCTCGCTTGTGACGTTCAAGCCTGGTAAACGCCATGATTCCTGGCCGTTTTTCTTCAACCAGTTTTGGTAGGCCTGGCGAAAAAAAGAAGAGCAACGGAGATATTAAATAGAAATTAAAGAGGGATTAACAGGAAGAAGAGCAGACAATTTTGGCCCTCACTCTCATTCAGCGATTTCTTACAACCTATGCAAGTTCAAACAACTTTATATCAAAATAGCGAGTGGCTCCTGCGCAGCTTCTTTTTTGTTAAACTTAGCGATGAGTCACACACTTTAAATTTAGAACTGAATAAACTCCGATGCTACGTTAGTGCTGCTCATCGTAGAAAAATTACCATTTTTTTGGTTAAGTCTAGCAATTTTATACCCTACCCAATAGAATACAAGATAGCGACACGTTGAAAACCTTCGCTCCTCGTTTCCACTAGAACTTTATTTTCCATGAATATCGATGATTTTGCATGAGGTGATTTTTTTGTAAAGCTCACATCCTGTAAGTTTACTGCCAAATTAATGCATCCGAAGGGATGCTGTAACGATTCCCATTTTCTTTTTTTTCTTTCTTTCCCATTTTCTCATTCAATTTCTTAGATTTGAATGCACCTACCCTATGAGAAGCTTTAAATCCTCCATTGTCGGCGATGTTTTCACCAAGAGTCAGCTTTCCATTTATCTGAAATAAACAAAATGAGGCTTTGCTTCAATCATCCGACCAATCAGGTATTGTCTTAAAATAATCTCGCGGGAAATAGAACAAAGAACTGATTACAGAATACTGTAGACCAGGTATGGGTGATCGTACTCTTCGTCGTCTTCTCCTGAATGTATTCCATAATTGCTTTCAGCTGTGTTTGGCGGCGCGTTTTTGTAGGGGATGAAAGATACAGCTAACAGATTGCCAGAATATTAACAAGTTTGCGGAAGGAAAGAGAAACTTCGAGGAGGGCAATTGCTTCTGACGGCAAGATTACTACCTTAAAAAATGGAAGAAATGCTTATGTTATCACTTTGGTACACACTCTCCCTTGAAAACAAAACCGACATAGGACATCTTTTAAAACATTTTTATGTTTTTTTGATGGGGAAAAGGCCTCTTCAACTGGCTGGAAATTAGTAAGATGTTGATTATGTAGGAAAATAAACCACGCACCGGAAATTTGTCGCGAACTTTGTACATAGAGTACTGGTTCTCAACGCATTTTGCCTTAGCTGCGAACCCATCTAGCGAGTCTTGAGACCACCATTGTGCTGTTAGTTCCCCATTCTTGTTAAACTTTCTCCCTACAAGAAAATATACTGATGAAATTGTTGGAAAAACAAATATGTTTCTCTAGGTCCGCTAGTTATAAGCTTAAAACCAACGCTGACCTCAAATAATAATCATTTGGAATCAGTATATGACGAATAAAATGGTAACGAATAACCAAGGTCAAGCTATAGACTGCGAGTAGGATCTTATTTTTCTTTTCAATCATAATAGATAGAGAGCACGAGTGAGGGACGAGCAGCGAAGCCGCGAGGAACGAGGGTGGAAACCCAGGCGAAGAAAAAATAAGACCAATCTCAGTTAACCTTCCTGCAAACGTCTCCTATTTCCTTTGTTGTTTTTAAAATTTAGGTTGAAAAAATCACCGCATACATTATGAGATCAGATTTTTATCGCAGCCAGTCAGAATCTATTTGCACCATGCCCACTGTGAGGTGACCAATCAGAGTCCCTTCCCAAGATCTTGGAAAACCGGAACACGATCAGCGACGGCATTACGCAGACATCCCTTTTTCCTATAAGAGATGTCTGTCGCAGGCTAATTTCAAGGTCTCTGACCCAATGTCTTCTGCTTTTTACCACTAATTGGCATAACTTTACTTTTTCGTTCACCGCACATGGCTCGGAGGAAAAACGGAGGACAGCTCGTTATCTTGTAAGGCTATTATTTGCTGAAAGCTTTCGCACGCGACCTCCCTCAAAAAGTTTTCCACATGGTCGCTTACGAGAGCCCAACATGGCGGTGGTCGGTTAACGAGGTACAAGATGCGTTTGCATAAGACATTTATAAACACCTGTGTTGTCAAATCCGTGCGTAAGTTCGTGCCCAAGAATTGATCCAATTGCTCCAAAGCTCAATGATCTGAAGGAAAGAAGAAAAGGAAATAATTCTCTTTAAAGTATTATCAATTTTCCTAAATTCTAAGTCCAGATTGTGACTTTGCAGTGAATGTAATATTAAGACCATCTCGTATTCTCACCTCAACCAACAACAGAATTTCGATATTTCGATAAGACAATACACTTTTCCTTATTTGTGTTAATCGCCTTCATTACTTTTCATCATCACATTGGTGGCTTTGTTGAGAAGGGGGAGCAAGACAGTATAGAACTTAAAATCGGGGAGTCGAAAGTTTTCCCAGAATACACTATTTTAAAATTGTTAGCTATTTTAATTAGCAATGGACAAATTAAGGGAATTTTTTTAGTGATTATTTTTATTGTTACTTATCATTTTTATTACTATTCAGATACCTTTCTTTGCCATACTAAACTTCTTAGGGTAGTTCTGACTATCCCACAATTGGTTTTTATCAACACGATCAAATTCACTAGCGTTTCGTGGGAGCGAAATTAAGGCTAGCACTCGAAATGTGAACTTCTGGATTCCTTTTAAGGTGAATTATTTACTTTATCATCGCAGTTTTGCCCCATGTAAGAGAGTTCAGATTCCTTAATCTGAGAAATGTTTGCTTGTGGAACCGGAATGCAACCTATTTTTGTCGTGGAATCCGGAATCCTGGGCTTTGGAATCCGGAATCCAAGTTCAACTGATAAATGATCCGGAATCCAGTACCTGGAATCCGGAATCCATGGCTTGGATTCCAGAGTTCAAGACTGTCTTAGGTTCCCTCACATGGGGCGATCATTTGATCTTCAAATATCTCACCCCTCCCTCAGTGATGAAGCCGGCCGCAAGAAAGGACTAACCACTTCATTCATTTATTTATGACTCAGACAGTTTGTCATTGAGTCTAAGCAGCGACGTTTTTGAGCTACAGCGCACGTCAACCGGAAGTGGAATTTTTGCACTCTGGAGCCGTGATTTTGAAAAAATTTTTGGGCAAATCCTCTCTATAAGAATAAGACACTTGACAATACAAATATGGTGGAGTCAAGGCTTATTAAAAGAGAAAAAGGCTCATTTCCGGTTGACGTGTCTCTTAAAAACGTCACTGCTTAAGCTCCCTATAAATTAACTTCACCTTGGACTTCCTTTGGCGTAGAAAAAAGGCGGTTGAAGAATTGCAGCTGGAATAACTTAAAAAAAATGAAATAATAAGACAAGTAAAAGTATAATTTACTATCTTAGTAAAATTTTGAGATTTGGCTTGGAGGCGGCTGTACATGTTTTAATTTTTTTCCAAAAATGCTGCGAGAATATGCTTCGGATCACTGAGTGTATTGTACTGAAAAACACTAAAAGAAACGATTGCAGTCGTTAAATACTAGAAGTGTCAAATGAAAGAGTATAAGCGATCAAATTGCCCGACGAAATGCCACAGCTAGAAAATGAGAGGACACTTGAACTTGGGTAATGAGGGGGTGTAGAAAGAGTAAATTATGTTGTTAAAATATCTTACCACATTGTTCCAAGATATTTAAATCCAATGAGAATGGTAAAATGATTTTTTGTTCGTCGAATTCCATGATTATGAAGCATAAAACATGATAAGGTATACTCACTAATTTCATTCTCATTGAAGCTGTACATTGCGTTGATAGTTTGTGGATCCATTGGCCACCTAATAAGGTAAGAATTGTATATTTTGCATTTTAGAAAAAGAGCATTTGTCAAGTTCTATTTCCAGAAGCGGGCTCAGTATGGGGGATCGCTCAAATACAGTTCGCCAAGGGAATCACACCAGCTCCACATCTTTGACCTCAAATACGGTTTGTCCCAAAATGATGACCAATTGAAATATTACTCCTCAAATTAAAAATTGCAAAGCGTTTGCCTTGCTTGAGTATACCTTCATCGCTGAATGGTGCTGCCACCGAATTAAATCAGCCCAAACTGTTTGAATTTGCGGCCGCCAAGGATAAGGATTTACTATTTATAGAGCAGTCCATTAATAGAATTACAAACGGTTTTAACTGAATGTAAGAAAATGACTCACTCTTCTTTGTCTACAGGCTTTCTTAGTTTAGCAAGCATCCTTTTGTGCGCCATTTTTAGGATTTGGATTCTGTTTTGAAAAAGACTGTTGTCCTTTATATCCACCTAAATTGGACCAAAAGTAATTGATTATCATTCAAGTAAATTCATTCTCAGACGTGGCTCCTGGGGTGCGACTCCGCCTTTTAAAGAGGTGGGGTTGCTTGTCGGAAATTTTGAATTAAACCCCTAAAGGAGACCGATCTGGGCGGGGCCCAAGCTTTTTTTGACCCCTAAAAGAGACCATGTTAAAACCCAGACAATATTTATATTTTATATTTTTCGCGTGCAACCCTAAACGAGACCTTCATGGCTTGATGGCGTTTTGCCCAGAACACCCTAAGTGAGACCAAAATCCGAAATTTGTACCCCTAAGCGAGGCGACGAGCATCCCCACCCCTTTCATATGGGGTTCCCCCCCCGGGACGTGGCTATGCCATATGCCGAGCCTTTTTTAAGGCGAGATGCTAGGCTTGTACTTCGAAGGCGTTCCCTTTTCGTTCACTTGGGGTATATCCATGTGTCAACAACTGAGCGAGAAAAATTACTCCTGCTTACTGTTATCATATTGAACCATTAGTGTTGCTATTCAATTATAATGGTAACATTGTTAAGCATAAAGAATTTTGCCGTTATAACGTTGTATCTTTGCAACAGTCATAAAAGGATTTGTCAGCACTTACATGATCATACTTTTTGAACCTCTTCTTGAATTTCTTCTTGTCAACTAAGTAGTGTGGAAACCCAACTTCATCGTGTATAGCATCTGCCTAAAATTATTATTTTAAATAATAAGAACAATAAGAAGAATAACAATAATAATAGGCCTTTTTGTAATAGTTGGTCACTATAAACAAACAAGAGAGCATTCGTTTGGAAACATGATTTTAGCAGGAACTGGAAAAGCATATTAAACTGGGTAATCTGTAAATTTTTTTAGCCGTATATTTCAAAAGTAGCGATACCAACAAGCGCCGAAAATTACGAAGATTTTTGGGAAAAACGACTCTTGCCGCCCAGTCATGTTTGAGTGGTTTTCCACACAAATCCTGGTTAATTATGAAACTGTTGTAAACCTGGTATGGAACGCATACCACGATGAATAATACCTTTAATGGCTTTCATGGCTTACTGTATTAAGGCTACTGCTGAACCAAGGAAACTGTTTTATTTCCCTTAATGGAGATCAGAATGCCACTAGGTGCGTTCATCGGAACCACTTGAATGTCAAACAGGACGTATGGCTATGTTCAACAATACCGCATAACTTCAGCTCCAACACGAAAACCATACCGGATAAAGCTTCTGTTTACACTTAAAGCCTGGTTTTCACTACCGCATAAGCATAATTAAGCATAAGGACATACGCACGCGCAGAATGGCATATTTGACTCAATTCTCGATACCAGCTCTCCTCGACCCGATGATAAACAGGATGGCAGACGAGGCGTCCGCCATATTTGCATGAGGTCTGGGTAAAAGTGACCTATGATTGGTCCACGACCTTGTGCTTATGCCTGTGCTTATGTCGACCCAGTTTTCACTAGTCAAAGTTACGACATAAGCATAAGCACAAGCACAAGAAGAACGAACTTGCCCGTTTTCTTGTGCTTATGCTTTTGTTTACGTCGAACCAGTTTCCACTTGCTTACACATGTGGTGCGCTTATGCTTATGTTTATGCTTATGCGCTAGTGAAAACCAGGCTTAAAAACGGTGATTTCCGCGGGACTTCTGTAACGTGTCGCGCCGATCTCGAAAGTGGAGCGTCATATATCGGATGGGTTTCTGCTACTCTTTGTCGCGGTGTGAACAGGCCTAGGTATTCGCACAGTAGCGGAATTAAACAGTAAGAGGTAGACTGGGTACCCACTGAGATGGAAATAAATATTAAGGAGTGAGGATTGGGATTTAGTGCACCAAACCCTCGGCAAACCGCACCGGTTCGATGTTTTATGTGTGTGGCCGTAGTCGACATGTTCTAGGTCTGTGCCGATGCCGTTAATAATGTACCAGACAGATTTTCAAGTCGGTACGAAAAGCTTTCAGGTTTTGTTCAGACATAGTAGGCGCGTATTCACAAGCGGTTTACGGAAATCGGTCATATTTTTCGTAATAGAAATATTTTTAATAATAAAAAACGCTTCCCAGGTTGAAACCTGGGCAATATCCTGTCCGAATAACTCGAAAACCCAGAAAAGGGGACTTAAAGAGTTAAAAACCAAACTGGCATTTCTTGGGGAGCCTGCCTCCCGGTTTCGCTAGATAGTGCTTGCGCCTTCGGCCCTCATTTAGGAAATCGGTCAGCATTTATCCTAATTCCGCGCCTGCATAGCCTAAGACAATTCATGGCTTCACACTAGTTAACTTGCGGGAAACCTTGTCCCAAGGAAGGTAGCATTATATCCGTTTTCCATTTTATATAAATGCTATGATAGTTTCAGTAACAAGACTGATTAGCACCTTGTCCATGACCGCCATCTTGGTAAGGTTGTCCATCCAGGGAATGGAGTTAACGTTATCTTTGAAAGCATTTCGGACCTCTATGATCATATCTTCTGCCTAATGATTGGAAACCAAACGGGAATTAGACATGATAGACACAATATTGCGAGATGTGGAAAAATATAAGTATATTATATATCTAGCTGGATTGATTTTTGTAAATGTTACCGCAAAATAGACCTCTTCTGTCAAGAAGCCAATTAAAAAACTAACAGTGCAACCATTGCACTTTCATTTCTTTTGTTGTCTTCTTATGTAGACTAAGGTTGTTAACAAACGTCACCGGGATTCAAAAATATAAACAACAGAGCAGTGAAAAAAATATCTTATGGTAGTAAAAGACTCGTAGCTGTAAGCACAAAGAGTCGCTTTGGAAAATAAGCTAAATGACTCATTATTGTGCGTTACTTACCATCTTTTTGCTTCCTTTGCTGAAATGATGCTCCACGTAAGCTGACCCCAAAACGTCCCCCAGTAGTTCGTTGGTGAACGTCACACATGTTTTCCAGCGCTTCTTCTGACCCTTGGAACCCAGGACCCGCTCTCGATAATGTGTCCGGGCGTCACGGTAGGGCTTAGAAAGGAACGAGACTTCGTCTTGAATGACATTCCACACTATATAGTTTGCAAGGATCCTGGAAACAATACAAACTACACCATATGAGACAAATATACTCTTTTAACTCGTCCTTCTTGTCTTCCGTTCTTTGTCCTAGTTAATGTCAAGTAATTGTTCTTAAATAAGCCAAAGTCAAAAGCGCCCTTAATCGAAGCTAAAACCCCTAGGTAGTTGACGTGAAAACAATTGAGAGTACCAGTAGTAGTCTCTAAATATCGGTGAATAACCTTATCAGTCAGTCTATCAGTATTTACTTTATTATTTGACTGTTGGGTTATTTTACCTTACAAAGGTAAGAGAGAAAGAGAGGGGGATGCATTTCAACATCTTCTTTAGAGAATGCTTAACGTGATAATGAAGACAACAACAAGGATGGTAATATGTTGCTGTTGTTGTTGTTGATGATGATGATGATGATGATGATGATGATGATGAGATGATGATGATGATGAAAATGTCAGTGATGGGAACAGTGATTTGGTGTTCGTAGTCATGATAAAGATGAAAATCACGATGACGATGATGATGATGATGATTAAAATGACGGCGATGTTGATTACGATTACGATTGCAATGATGATGATGATGATGATGATGATGATGATGATGATGATAAGAGTGAGAAAAGAATGGGATTTCATCATATCTTAAGAATAGCGCGAATGTTTTGTTGTTTGCAATTGAATTTCCAAAATGCGAAATGCTAGGGCGACTGAATTATCCGCCGTCAATGGGCAAATGAGTTTATCATCAAGGAACTTGGATATGCAAATGTTGCTCTTACCGTTTGGGTGTTTCCTCGATGATCTTGGACATCTTTTGAAGGTAAGGAAGAGCGGGTACAATGATCTCTTCATCCCCTGTAAGGGTTTCGTTAGAAAATATTGAAGATAAATGATGCATCCATGGATACTATAAAGTAAAAGAAGCGAATATTAGGGTTATTTCTTAGTATCGCATTGCGCATACTTACTGCGCATAAATTCACGCGAGATAAGCGCGTGAACATTAAAACATGGCGGCTTTTGCCTTAGGGCTTGAGCTATTCAAAGATGTAAACGAGTGTGATGAACTAGCGTTGTTTTTCTCTTTTTAAAAGTGAGCAGTGACTTTTTTTCTCCAGAATAATTATAATCCATGTGCAGCAGAAAAAGAAATAAACCTCGGAAATGTGTTCAAAACATATACTCATAGATGCAATCATATTGAAGATTTTAAGGAATCATTGCTCACAAAGTTGCTCCTAATCGAGTATGGGGAACCTCAGATTCTACTGCAAAATTTAACTTTATTCAACATAAACAATTAGTAAAGCTTTACAAAAATTTAAGCGCAGGTTCTATTTCAGAGGAATGGCCTTTAATAAAATTTTTGGAGCCGTTCTTTACCAAACGATTCAAATCGATCAGTGAATCTTACCCCGGGCGCTTTTTTTGCTAACGAAGAAATATTCAACCGGTTGAACCAGGAGTCAGTCTTGTCAGCGTCAGGAACACTGATCTAAAAATATTAAGAAAACATCGTTTACGCAAGTGACGTAACATTCTTAACATGGTAATGATTCCAGTGTTAGACATTATTACGACTTCTGGTCTGAGGCGAGCATATATGTATCGCTTAGAACGACGCAAAACGCTTCATTTAAGCGTCGACGTAATCAGATAACTGTACATTGTTAAATGTCGACTCCGTAAAATAATCACAAACAAAAGTACAACGGTGTTCTCACTAGCGATAAGTATTAGCCTGTGGTAGAATACGCAGGAGAAGACGCATGAAAATATTGCACTGCTAATAATAATTCCAATGATGGCAAACGTAAGGGCCCGGATTTCGTCAAAAATTCCTTCCTTGATCGCTTAGGTGCCATTTTCGTTCCCATAGCCGCGATCTCTCTGCGTGGCGTTGCCAAAAAGGGTTGCTGCTCTAAGAAGGTGAATGCGCCTGAGCATGTGCTTGAGCATATGCTTACCTGCGACTCTGAATATCGAAGAACAGAATCACTTGATATTCTTATGTTTATGCTTATTTAAGCCTTTAAGCAGAAGGCTGTCAACACACTATCCCAACTTACATTTTGGGCAATGGTAAGCTTAGAAACTTTTTTCTAACTACTGTACAATGCTACTTACATAAAGTGCCTTTTCACTCAGGTGGCCACTATATGCAAATTTATTAGAACAATGTAAGAAAAAGTTCCACTCCCGCGGGACTGGTTTGGAACACCAACATGGCTGCCATTTCATTGTTTGGGGACTCCAATATGGCGGAAGTGACGTCATGTGAAAACGCCTGGGGGGTACTTCCTAGTAATAATTTAATGGGGATGTGCCGCAGGATGGGATCGCATTTTCACGACTGGATTGACTATAATGGGGTTGCATTTTCAATAGAATTACAAGAATGGGGTCGCATATTTTCGGGATTTTAGGGTTGACAAAACACAAGTTGGTAGGGATTCAAAAAAGGACAGATTTTTACTACATTAAGTTTTTTTTTTTTATGTTTTTTTTTTAATTTTTTTATTTATTTATTTATTTTTATTCAAGACATTTATTACTATAATTACAAAGAACTACTTAAAAGAAAATAATTACAAAGTTCTAAACAACCGCAATAACAGACATACTTACAATTATCTACATTTCACAATTATATACATTACAGCCACGAAACAGCCGCGCAATTGCCGAATGAGGCTTATTTTACAAAGAATTAATTAATACTTAATTATGTAGATAAAAGAGAGATTAACACTTAATATTTACAGTACGCTCTGAAATAAAAACAAAAACATAACCACACATACAAAAATACAAAATACAAAAATACAAAAAACAAAAACAAAAAAAAAGTGTCTAATAAAAGATTACATTTTTAAATACATACTCACGAACTTAATTAAAGTTTTTAAGTTTTACAAATGTGGCAATTCATTTCAGGATCAATAATTAAAAGGCTTTATAAAGTAGATGCCTAAACCGAAAGTGGCGGAGTTGGGATCACAAAAATTACATTTTCATAAAAGTGACTAATATGGGGTCTATAACTTGACACAGAATAGATTATAATGGGCTAGGGGTTCTAAGAAGCCAGCGGCACATACCCAGCAAATTCCTGTCATTTTTAGCACTAAGTCAAATATTAAATATTGATTTCTTTTCTCCGCAAGCGATTTATACTTACGTTGGCCAGTTTTGTTTCAAAGGTTACAATCTCTTCAGCACGTTTCTCCATCTTTTCATCACCTCCGAGGAGTTTTCCAACCGCGGTAATAAACTGCTTGTACGCTTTTATGATCTTGAAATTAATTTCATTAATAAATTAAGGTTTGCCCTTTATTGCGGAAGTGCACTTTATAGCTTTCCAGTTAGTTTACAGGCACTCCACTCAAGTAGAAACAGATAATTCAGATGGAACACAACAGGAGTAAAAATCCAAAGTGTTAGGATGCAGCCAGTTAGCTACCTATTTACCTGCATTGCTTAGGATTTGAACTCGGGAAGAACGAGGAGCAAATCCAGCAAGTGGTCAGAGCGCGCGGTACTCGAGCCCACGGGACCGCCAGATCGTGAGTTCGTCGCTCTGACCACTCGGTCACGCTGCCTCCTAAGATTATGTCACTTTTTACACGTGGTATTGAGGGTGTGCTTATTATCGTAGTGCCCAACCAGATTCTACGTTGTATCTAGAGTAACCAAATTTGTCTGATATTTTCTTATATCTCTGCAGGAGCTTTTCTTGTACGGTTTAAAGCACTAAGAAATGATTTCAGCACAGAATTGACCTAAACAGCAATATCCTTGTGACATTTAGCCCTTGAACACGATTTACTCGGCTGACGCTTTTGAAGAATGGCAACCCTGATAAAGTTTTTCTCTTACCTTTGGACTGTCAAAGTACACTTCTCGGGATAGACTTGGCCCAGACTGGTCTACCTGGTCGATAAAAATTACACGTTTCAGACAAACATACAAGACTTTCAAATGATCATTATCCAGTTACCGGCGCTTTTACCATGAGAACCATGACGATAACGCCCAGATGAAAGTTAAGCAAAAAGAGTGCGAGTCTTGATTGTGCCGCAAAAGCTGATCTAAACCAAGGGCCTCTGATCCACAAGGAAGATTGGCGTTGGACAGAATCTCAAGCAAAGTAACGAGGAAATGAAACAAACTGAATAAATACTCCCCAAAATCGAAACTAGAGAAACATTGCTGAATGTCATCTTGCAAATGAAACAACTTATAGTAAGGTTTCATTTTGATGGTCATCCAATGGGATTTTTTTTCAGGGACTCAAATGTTGGAAGGACATTTCTATATCACACATTATTTCTCAAAATTGAAGATTAATCATTTCTGATTCAAGCCTCGTTGCGTATACTTCCCTCTAAGAATTCTATGCTCAGGAGATATGTTTGCAAAATAATAATTAAATTATGAGTCATTGTTTCCCTGAAAGTGCTTCCAGCTGTTCCACCAATTTGACACTAGGCTCCACTCGATAAATCACAAGAAAAATAATCTCAAGGAAACAAAGCTTGGTGAAAAATTCCAACATGTATTAGGCAGCTGCCAGTTGGCTATTTCCAAATGTGGCCGAGGTATTGAACAACCAAAGAGAAATGCAGCTAGGGATCACAGCAGAACTCGAACCTGGGATCGACGGGTTGCGAGTCCAACAAATAGATCACGTCAAGGCAACGCTTCTCCCTCCCCCCACTTCTAGCGTGGTGTGAATCCGTAATGGCACATGTTACGACTCCTTGGAGGCTTCCGTCCTGGAAGGAGCTTGCCCTATTGGCATAGTGTGAGAGAGGTTCACCCCGGCCGTATCATCGTGTCTTCGTATTCTCACTTGCTGTTAGCCATGATATGTTTCTTCACTCCCAAAGACGGTTAAGAAAACATGTCACGCAGCTCTAACTTTATTGTCAATGGATAAATTTCTAAAACCTTACCAATTACATAAAAACCTTTGGAAGGATGTTTACTTGACGCTTTTTTCAGATTTTAACGAGGAAAGTCAACTGTTGGATTTCTTTGGGAGTTTGGGGCAGGCTTTGGTAAACGTTTTTTGTGTAAAAACAAATTCATCTTTTATCGGTAGTGTTTCTGAAACAAACGGCAGGTAGTCCAAGCCAGATGTAACAGGTTATACGCCGCCTCTTAAGTTAACAGAATAGAATCAAACGGTCTCAGGTTCAGGAAATGTCCTACTTTCCATACGAAAAATCATAATTTACAATATTGATAATGGTAGAACTCTGTCGTTTTTAAACGTTCTTTCCATCAAGGTCTGAATTTTCATTTAATTTCGTTAAACAATTAAATAAGTACACGAATTGCTAGTTTTTATAATAAACACGAGAAAGGCCTAAATAGGACTCCCGCAAGAGCCGTTGATGCGATTCAGACAGACTGGTCTAATTTGAAATCTTCCATCGGTTTCACAAGCATCGAGTGGACAGTGAAAGCCTTCTAGCAATCACACCATGACTTTGATTGAAGGGCACTTACCTCAATTATGTGTCTGGTGTTATTTATTGGATCGTCACTAATGTGAACAGAAAACAAAGGCCCGCCAGCGGACGTATAGTGCTTATGAATTTTCAACAAAGTTCCCTCGAGGTTCCAGTTTTCCTCATTCCAGCCTGAATTGCTATCAATGCTCCAGGAGCCAATTTCATGAATCAAGTCCCGTAATGGCTTATCCCCTATTTTGTCAATAGTTTTGAGATCCATGCAGGAGTCATAAAACTTCTTTGGCAGCTGGAAGAGCCTCTTACTAGAAGATGTTATTCTCTTCTCCAATATGCGCCTCAGATTTCTTTCCACATGCCCATTGAGCTTAGCAAATGTGGAATAGGTCGAGGAACTCTTGGGAATGGGATTGGCTTTGATCCAGCCCCCGCAAACGTAATCGAAAAAGTCTTCACATGGGTCTATGGAATGATTCATGGAAGCGTTTATGTATTTTGCCACTTTTTTGCAATCCTCAGTTTGGCAAATCTTCACGGGGTTATCCTTGAGATCGCTATGAACATCACGCGCCGAGCGAATAGCACCTCCCGTACTGACTAGTTCATCGAAATACGTCTTGCGCTCATCGCTGATTGCCACATGAATGACAGCCACCACTAAAATGACGGTCAAAACACCAAGAATCCCCATACACCGCGCTCCACAACCCCAAGAAGATTCTTGGGCGTTCATTTGGGATTCTTCATCGTTTCGTTTCCTTCTCGATCCATCGCGCCCCATCTCAGTTTGTTACTTACCCCGGGGCGTAGCGGCAATATTTCTATAGTTTCACTATTGCCCCAAAGTGACCTTTCCTAGTCGCGGTGTATCTGCTCGACTGGCAATAAATTATGCACCGAACGCCTCAACAGTGAATAACGTAATCGTATTTTGTAATCCAAGATGGGCCTGCTAAGCATGACCACTGATATCAATGCGAGTCAGGCGATGAAACTTTAGTCGAGATAAAATTTGCCCTTTTTGCAGTAAAAACGGACGAAGCGAGATACCCCATTTAAACGGCGACTATTACAGCTCTCTTCTTAATTTCATTTGAAGAGCTAAACGTGCAAAGCCGTGAAATGAACAATTCCTCTTGACTGCGACAGCAGATTGTCCTCTCGTTAACATTTTCAGCTTAATCAACTATTTTTCGGGCAGAACGACTCAGTGAAATAATATCACAAAGACTAAATTGGCAAGAGAGTTGCAAAGGAGTTTATTCAATGAATTGGGAAACTGATTTGTTTCACTTACAAGTACGGCCATTGTCTCTAGAGCCAGGTCTTGGCTGGTACCAGTTTGGTGACAGTTAATAAGACCTTATTAATTTCCCGTGCGTCTTAGATGGAAGTAGCATTGGAATCAGTCAGCTTAACATTTTCATTTATGCTTAGATCTCATTTGAGAACAATTTTCAGTTTCTTGGCCAATACGTCATTTCAAGCTGACGCTGTTTTTTTTGTTTGTTTTTTTTCAACGGCATCAAGTTGGACTTATTTTAACTAGAGCGTGGCCAAGAGCCACTTGAATTCAACCGGCAAGGCGTTAATTGCGACCAGTAGAACAACTTAAGCTTGCTTGAGTTCAGCTCAGTGAACGTTCCACTTTGGATGTCTAAAAGACTTAGCGCACAGTTAAATAACAAATTTGATTGTACAAAATTAAATTTTTTTGCCTTTTTTGCTGTTTTTGATAACACAAGAAACACATAACACTTACTTAATTTGCAATTGAATTTGTACCAGGACACTCAATTGATTGTAATAGTCAGGAACGACACTTTACTTAGTTAACGCCAATTTTGTAACTTATTACTCTACTGACTAGCATAAGTCAATTAACTCAATTTTTTTTTCATCGCTAGTTTCTTATACAAAAGTTTGTCTTGTAAGTACTCAAGAAACAAACATTATTTTAATAGGTAGGTGCAGAGGCTCTGAAAAGTCCACAACGAACTTGATGTTCGACAAGTACTATTCGGTCAGATCACATCACGAACCATTCAGTCGTCATATGAGTTCATTTCGCAATGTCAGTTTTGGACAAGCTTCGGCGCTTCTTGAGTACCTTCGCTTAGCTTTTGTCTAATGTATTTAAAGACATAAAGAATTGCATCGAAACTACTCGATACTTTGTAAATAACACGATCAGGCCTTCAGGCTATGCCAATTTACTTTACAGCATAATCTGCTAATAACTATGTTTGCAGATCTTATACACTTTGTAACAGAAAGCGTAGAAGTTGGACAGAAAAAAAGGTGCCGAGCTCCCATTAACTGACACCGGAAAGTCCTTCCTACCTTATAGGTTGTGTAGTGGTACCGAGTCGACGCGCTGTCCGCTTGCCTGGCCAGGCTACCTTCTTTCAGAGTTCTCAGCCGCATTTAATGTGCTTTTTTCAGAAGTAAACAAAACTGGTATCTTTAAGGAAGTAAAAATCGTTTCATTAATTACCTCTCACAAGAAGAGATTTTGAAAGCTTTTGGGGGTTTTGAGAATGGGAGTCCACAATTTTTTCATAGGGGATTCCGGCCCTGACGTTATAAAATCAGCTTTCTTGTCCCCCCCTCCCCCATTTTCTAAGGGGAAAAGACCTGTCGACGAAGTTATAAAATTAGGTTTTCTTTTATCGGAGAAGATCGATAGATTTCAGAAAATAACTATCTCGAAAGTGGGATGCAAATAAAGTCTTGCTTAACTATTTTGTATGAAGAGGCAAGTTAGATGGCAGCCTTTGAACCTAAGAACAAATCAACCCTACTATTGTCATTCAATAACTTTCTTACATCCAGACAAGAAGCACGTTCATTTACTTCTAACCGACATTTTTCGTCTCTTACGTAAGGGTAACTGAATAGGCCAAGAATTCAACGGAATGAATACCAGAATGTGGTGGTAAGGAAAAACGACTTCAATGGACGTGCTGACGATTAGTTCCTTAGCAAATCGCCAAGTTCACCATACTTTTGATAGCATTGCAGGTCACGGCAGCCATAACATTCAGGTATTGCTGTATTAAACTCTATATCGCTATAGTCGTCTAGTCTAGGGATGCTGAGCAGAGCGTAAAATGCATCCTGTGTCAGCCTACGTCACTCCTACACCAACAGCCTCAGACGAATCACCTATATCTGTGATATAACAGAGTTTATAACATAGCTGGAATATTCGCCTGATCAAATTCAATAGCGCGAGCGTGCTGCATATTCCCATTGAGCACGCTGATGACCTCAATAAAATTTTCTTCGAGTTCTTGTGAGCTTAGCAATACTCCTAAGACGTCTCCGAAGTGAATCCATAACTGAACAGTACACGATAAAGCGTTTATCATGTGTTTTATAAGGTAAATATATTTAAGAGGAAACTTTTGAATTTGTTAACCGATTGTATGTAGGGAAAAGAGGTGAGTGTTCACTGTTGTTGTTGTTGTTGTCATCTTCGCGAGCTGTCCGAGCTATGGCGTGTGCAGATCCTTCTTTACAAAGTTTATTTCTCTCAAAAACAATTCTTCGCTGAATTAATAGTTTTCCGGCACCTCAATATGGATTTAACAATATTTTTGAGGGTTATCTGAAGCGACGTGAGTAAACTTCCTCTCAGTTTCAAGAAAAAACATAACTGTGAGGTTAAAAAATATGTCACGTAGACATTGACCAAACTGCTTTAAGCGCGCGCTATAATGATAAAATTTTAAATAAACTTCTGCAGTGATCGCTTTGATAATGTTATACAACAATTGGTTTGTGCTTCATCTGTGCGTATGTCGAGATATTGAGCACTTGGGAAGTTTGGAGAGCACTAAAGAGGCTAGAGTTGCCTTTTTTGTGCTCTCCAAACTTCCCGCGTGCTCGACATACGCACGCTGACGCATGAACTAATTGTTAAGAATAATGGCATATTGTCGTCTTAACTGTTGTTTACTTCCGACAAAGTTCTTTGTACGAATTATTTGCTCCAGTACGGTAAGGTAATCCAAGGAAGTCCTGGAGTCTGAATCTCACGCTGGGGATTCCGGATTTCAAAGGATTCCTTATCAGTGGCTGACTTCGATTTCCGAGTTCAATCGTTAGCGGGATTCTGGATTCCTTGAACTCCGCAGCCCAGGGCCCATTTGTTCAAATGCCGATTAGAGCTAACCCAGGGTTAAATTTTAATCCCGGTTTCTTCTTCATTTGTTCAAAAGCATTTTCTCAGATAATTTTCTCTATTATTTTTAGAGCATCCAATAATCAAATTCTAGGCAAAAAGAATAAAACTGGATTGGTTTTTTATGCTTTCATATCTGAAATCAAATTTTGCAGTAATTCACCACTATCATTTAATGGAAATGTGCTTATAATGATAAGGAGGCTGATAACGTAACAGAGTATTGGTTAAGTTGTTTATTTATTAATTTATATATTTATTAATTTTTCCTCATTCAGTAATTCAGTATCATTTAATTGCTTATTCTTAGCACCTAAGTCAAGTAAAAGATAAGCTCAAGTGATAACCAATATCTTCGGGTTTTTTTTCTTTCC